ACATGGCATTTGTTGGAAAGATGACAAAGCAAATTGTTGGTGAGGGACTTATGTTTGTGTCTGGGTGTGTGTCTGAGTGGGTGTCTGTGTGTGTTAGTGTGTCTGTGTGTGTTTGTGTGTCTGTGTGTGTTTGTGTGCGGAGAGGGCAAAGAGTATGACGTTCTAGGAACGACTCCAACAGACAGCAGCCATACAATGTGAGGGAAATATGTCACAGTTGACCACTGAAACGTGGGACGCTCACTGTTAACAATAATCAGGAAAAATTACAAATACAGTTTTGGGGACACCTGAATAAACATAAAGGTCTTGAACATCTAGTTCTCACTGGCAAAATCGAAAGCAAACGAGGCAAGGGTAGGCCCAGAGCAACCTACGTAGGGAACCTAAACAAATAGGTAACGGGGAAAGATAAGGGAATCGTAGCTTTTTAAGAGCATCCGAGCAAAGGAATGAATGGAGAACCACGATCGCCGATGTCTGTCGCAGATCTGGCGCTAGATTATGATAATGATGACCACTGAAACAGCTCTATCTTACACGCGAAAAACTTGAGTTCAATTCCCACATAGAGGTTGTCCTTCCCCTTAAAAAACAGCCCTTCTAGGTTATGGGTGAGAGGTATTATTCTCGCAAAAGTGAAGATAAAGTTCGGTTTATATTCTGTCATTCAAGCTTTCGCATATCAGAGGAAATTATTCGTTTCACCCATTCATAAATGAACCCAGTGATATTACTGATAACAACCTACAATGTGGAACCCACGAGAACAACATATGTACAACTTACACTACTTTGTTATGGAAAGTTTGTCAAACAGTATAAAACGTTTTTATTAATATTCCAGATGTGTGTGTCATTTGTAATGTATGTCATTCTCAAGGAAGCCTCTCGCATAATTTGCAAAATGTGTACTGTGTGTGCTTCATGTGATGTGGGGCAATGACCTTAAATACTTAACAAAATATCTACTTTCCTACCTACCTACCTACCTACCTACCTACCTGCCTACCTACTCAACTACTTAGCTACCTATTTACCTACCTACCTGCCTACCAACCTGCCTGCCTGCCTACCTACCTGCCTACTTACCTGCATACCTACCTACCTAACCAACCTACCTACCTACCAAACTACCAACCTACCTACCTACCTCCCTAACTGGGTTAAAAGAGGTATATTTTTCTCCTCGACTGCTTTCTCTACAGAGACTTCCCCGAGGGCGCCTGCACTGTGGCGTGTGAGAAACATTCAAGTCTTGGGTAAGTCATTGGTGGTGAGGGTGGAAGATGTCTCTTGAGTTACAATATCCTAGACAGGGCACTGTCGTGGCCGCCTGTATATTTTTGTTGTACTATCCTGGACCGGGCATTGTCATGGCCGCCCATAGATTTGAATCATATCCTGGACTGGGCACTTTCATGACCGCCCATAGAATTGATTGGTGATGTCCTTGATCGGGCACTGTCATGGCCGTTGCTCTTTGCTCTCTATAAAAACTTCACTGCTTTGGTACCATGGTGCACATCGTGGGCTCCCAAATGAAAGGTTTCACTCCAGTCGTGCTATAACTGTTTTGCGCACGCAACCTTTCCTTCTTTTCCCTTCGCTTGGTTCCCTGTAATCACAAACAAACAAATAAATAACACATAAACAGATTCGCAATTAACACAAATAAACACATAAATAGATTCACAATGAACTCAAACAAACACATAAATAGATTCACAATGAACTCAAACAAACACATAAATGAATTCACTATAAGCACAAATAAATAATAAATAGATTCAATGTAAACAAAAGTAAACACATAATAAATAGATTCACTATGAATACAGACAAACACATGAATAGATTCACTACGAACACAAACACATAAATAGATTCACTATGAATACAGACAAACATATGAATAGATTCACTACGAACACAAACACATAAATAGATTCACTATGAACACAAACAAGCACATAGATTCACTACGAACAGAAATAAACACATACATAGATTCACTATGAACACGAATAAACATATAAATAGATTCGAATATATCTGCCCGTGCCAGGGTCTACTAATTAACCTAGCCGAAATCTCATGTATGACTGTACACAAAGCCCCCGTCTGTCTGTCTGTCTGTCTGTCTGTCTCTGTGTGTGTGTGTCTGTCTGTCTGGGTGTCTGTCTGTCAGTCCGTCTGTCTCTCTCTCTCTCTCTCTCTCTCTATCTCTCTCTTTTTTTTTCTCTCTCCCTCTCTCTCTATCTTTCTCACTCGCTCACTCACACACACACACACACACACACACACACACACACACACACACACACACAC